TCTCGACGAATTTATGCGCGGAAATTGGTTTAACCTAACTATGAGAACTCCTATGGGAAAATGGGAGGGTTTCTTGGAACATATACAAGAATGTTCCATCCTATGTAACTAGTTTTTAACATCGCATTACTTTTATATAAACTTTTTTTTCAAATTACGCGCTTTTACTTCGGACGTATCTGATTGGTCGATGGAGATTTGTCAGGGTCTGTATTAGGTAGTTTCGTTTTGGGTAACCGACTTTTGTTTACTATGAAGTTGACAAGAAAAGTAGTATTTCTAAACCTACACTATAAAAACCAACTCTCATTGACATGTAAGCATACATACATACATACATACATAGCTAATTAGCATGAATAATTGTTATCTAAACCAACACAAAGTCAAAAGGATTATTGACTTAGATAAAATACAAAATGTAGCAAATTCATCTATGGCTGTGATTTTACCCGGATAGATAATATTATAAGTAATAATGATAATAATAGCTTTATTCCAAACAGCGCTTTTGGTACAAATATGGAATTTTCACCATGTAGTACAGTACACTATTGCATCTAACTTTCTCACTGCAAGGGTAATAATTAAAGCAGGGCATTTACATCGATAATACTGTTCAATAAGGAAATGAATATAGAATTAAATTGAGTGAAAATATTAAGAACAGTGTAACAATGGAAAAAATACGGCTGTTTACTTAGAGTTCCATTGTAAGTTGGTAGAGTCATGCATTACACTTTTCTCACCATATAAAATGTGTCCCCCCAAATAAGGTATTGTAGAATTCCTATACATAGTCGTCCGAGTATACAGTCTTGTATAGTTGCTTCTACTTCTACCTGATGAGACAGATGCAAGGAGAGTTGTGTATACAGAGGACGTTCAGAGTCTCACAAGATAATATCTGCTAATTTCTTGTGTGAGTCCGTGTGTCCTCTGTCTACAGAAGTATTAACGAGTTGGTTTGGCAACAACCCACTCGCCCTACTGACAGCTTTTAGTGCCCTTCACAGTATAATATAACAGTCTTTCTTAAGTGACCACGGAAAGATTGCGGGGGAGCAATAAACCTCCAGTGTAACTCTAATGAGAAACTATGGAGTTGGGTGTCCTTTGGTGACATGAAGATAACGTGAGGAAGACGAGGAGGAGGAGGAGAGGAACGCTTATGGGCAATCGTGGAAACAGCTAAAAATGACAGCAGACGACAGGATGATATGGAGATGTGCTGCTGAAGCCCCATGTTCCCCATGAAACAAACTCATAAGACTGATAACGATGATAATAATAAGCCAAAACATGCTTCTGTAATTTACTGATTATATAAACAATTAAAATGCCGCTTCAAACCACCACTGAAGGCATAAACGGAGCTGACCTGTAGGTTTTTAAAATCGCCTAATCTACTTACTACTCGTGACAGTAATAAAAAAAATAATTACATCATATAATAAACACTGTAGAACTGTAGACATGACCTGAAAATAGGCAAACACATCAAGTTGATTTCGCTTTCATCAGTCGCACACACACACACACAAGCATAGACACGATGTGTGTAATCACGGATCAATAGAGATCGATCCATAAGGAATGACCCTGAAGTGTGCAATTATTGATTAGTGTATAAATCATTTAACACCGATAATAACGTGTAAAAAGGAAGACACACAAACATTGAGGGAGAGAGAGAGATAAACTACCATATTTACGTAAATTATGTGCCTGAAGAACATGAAATTATGGTTTATATAAGAGATATATATGTTTAAACAAAAACGTGTGCTACTGGTAAGAGTTATCAGTTGTATATAAAGGAGCGTTCATCGGCACAGAAAAATCAAATTAGTGGAAAGATAGATTCAATGTCAAAGAGAACAAATGAACCGGTATTACGGCAGAACATGGGAGACATGAAAAGAAGACAAAGAAACACAATATGAAGGAAGGGAAAAAATTAGCATAACACGGAAGATCTGTGCAAATGACGATTTTCACATAAGGTGTACATAATTTCATTATAGATAAGATAAGGCAGTTACCAAGGTTCTAGTGGGAAGTCATGATCAGTAGGGTACAGTGGTTCAGGTGTAAGGACAGATACTCACGAAGTCATTGCGAAGTGGTCGTGCTATGTCATTAATTATCAGAATTCATGGACTGGCCATTGGATCAGGTCCCAGTGGCTTAAATGGTATACGAGCTAGCTCGCCTTGTAACCAGAAGGTCCTGGGTTCGAATCCCGGTAGGTGCGTACTGCTAAAGAGCCCCAAACTAGGACGAAACAGCTGTCCAGTACTCTAGTGCCAGTTTTCCAATGGTTCTCCAGCTGATTTCAGCTAATGATGAAATCCTGTAACCAATCAATCAAATCCCTACAAACCAACACTTGAAGATAAGATTTTATTTTGATAAAGTGACACAGTGTTATACAGTAATATTAACTGATGACAACGTTTCGAGCACAAACTATTGCCATTCATAATCATATCAAGTTACTCACACAACTTTTTTCCTTCATTTTTATACATGTGTGGAATCGATTAGATATTTGAATAAAAATCAATATAAAATACAGTGCATTCAGAAAGAATAATATGAGTGTTATTGATCAAATACAATCAGATGGGAAATAAGACGAGTGTTTTTATAGTCAAAATAAGTAACTTGTTAGAATGTTATGATGTACGTGAATTGAAATAGAATTTTAAGATTATTTATATTTTGCCCTAGGCATAACTGAATTCCTAAAATAATTTTCTCAATAGGCAGGTTTGTCCTATGACTAAGTTCGGGATCAGAAGTTAGTTAGTTTCCTTTTAACTGCTTCTAAGGCCATATTGATTGGTATATTAGTGTACAGACTAGTTATATCAAAACTAACCACTTTTTCATTATTCTCTAATTGAATGTTATTTAGTTTCCTTTTCATTTCATATGAATCAGTTAGCCTAGAGTTTGAATGATTTCTAATGGGACATAGTATACGAGCTAAATGTTTTGATAATTCATATGTCGGCGTATTTCTGAAATCTACTATTGGTCTTATGAGGGTAACCTGGTCTATGTATTTTTATAGTACCATATATTCTACTAGCGTCAAATGACTCAATGCAAATACCAGAGATATGGAAGATATTACTACCAGTCAGTCAAATCAGAGGAGGATAATAAATAATCTTAAAATTCTATTTCAATTCAAGCACATCACAACATTCTAACAAGTTACTTATTTTGACTATAAAAACACTCGTCTTATTTCCCATCTGATTGTAATTGATCAATAACACTCATTATTATTATTTCTGAATGTACATTATCCTATATTAACTTTTATTCCAATATCTAATCGATTCCACACATGTATATAAATGAAGTTAAAAAGTTGTGTGAGTAGTGCCTTGATATGATTATGAGCAGTAATAATTTGTGCTCGAAACGTGGTCATCAGTTAATATTACTGTATAACACATTGTGTGAATTTATCAAAATAAAATCTTATCTATAATGGAGTTATACTCTACCACAGTGCCCAAGTTTTATAGTGTACACATAATTTCCCTATATAGAGATATCAAATTTCAAATAAACATTCCGTTACCAAATCTATTGTCTTCTACAGTTACAAGAATACATCATGAACCCACATAAGGTGGGAAAATTACTGGAAATTTGAAGCCTAGGACAGCTCTAAATGGTTCTAGAGTCAGACTTTCCAGGGAGCAGTGAATGGTCATAAAACCCTGTGAGCGATCGTGTTGAGGACCATCAAGGTTTCCTAAAGAACGAATGGTAACATCTCAAAACGGTGAAGGCCCTATCTCTCCCTAGTAAGGTTGTAAGGTGAATACTGTTAAGCAGTTTCAGACAAACAAAAGAGAAATAGGTGATGAGTGCTCACTGGCCTATCCTTCTTATCATAATTTTGCTTAGTGATGTAATAATTTAGCATAAAATCCTTTGAAGTGAGGACAGGAGTAAGACAAGCTGGCTGGCTGCCTACTATCGCCAATGATTTTCCTGATTGCAGTAGATTGGATGATGCGACAAACAACGGGCAATGAGGAAACAGGCATAAAATGGACTCACACAAAAAACTTGGAGGATCTCCACTACGCCGATGATATATGTCTGATTTCCCACAAACTGGAAGATATGCAAGCGAAAAGTAACAAGTTGGCAGAAGAAGCATCAAAGATAGGACTTCAGGTGAACATAGAGAAAACAGAGGTGATGAAGATTCCTGGCCAACACCATCAGCAGCAACAGCAACAACAGACAACAATGAGCATAAATGGGAGGAACCTGAAAGAAACAACCTCCTTTACCTACCATTTGGAAGCATCGTTTCAACTACAGCGGACGGAACTGACGAGGATATCAAAGCAAGGATCGGGAAAGCAAGACAAGCTTTCACTACTCTCAAGTCTGTGTGGAGGTCAACAGCACTCAGCATCAAAAATAAGATCCAAATTTTCAACTCCAATGTGAAGTCAGTGCACTTACTATACGGATCAGAGACTTGCACTGCGCGTCATAAAGAGCATCTCAAACAAACTACAGACCTTCATTAACAGCTGTCTTCGCTCAATACTCAAGATCAGATGGCCAGAAAAGATCAGCAACAGAGATCTTTGGGAGCGAACAAACCAGGAACCGATTGTGAAACAAATAGGCAGGAAGAAATGGAGATGGATTGGCCATACTCTGAGGAAACCATCAAGTGACATCACTAGACAAGCCATTGCTCGAGTGGAACCTGAAAGGGAAGCGGCGAGTTGGTCGTCAGTGCAAGGGTGACTTGGAGGAGGTCATGTGAAGAGGAGATGAAAGTGTGTGGGCAGACTTGGAGCCAGGTGAAGACTATAGCAGAGAACCGAACGCAATGGAGACGCACGGCTGAAGCCCTATGTTCCTCTAGGAAAAGGAAACAATAATAATAAAATCAAAAGAATCCTACAAAAAAAGCCAATTAAAACAGAACACAACTAACTTACCTAGATATTGGGTAAGCGCCAACGGTACAGGAGCTTTATTATGCCCTGTATGAATATCGGATATAGTAAAATCAGTGATCCGAGGATTATTATTATTTTCTGCATATACATCCACTGGTTGATAATGACACGTGTAAGCTGACATTCGTTTATCATTCAATCCATACTGAGTTAATGTTGGTTTAGACTGCACGTGTGCAACAGTATGATTATGCAATATATCCAAGTTGTTATGTAAGTCATCACGTGAAGAACGTTTGTGTGTAGATTTCAATTTATGATTACTATTATTGTTATTATTATTGCTATGGGAGGTATTCATTTTCTTCGGAGAATAATTTGTATGAGTTGTTGTTGTTGGTGGTGGTGCTGGCGATGACTTTTCAGAAGCATTTCTCAAGGATTTTTGTATTCGTTTGCGTAGAACTATTGTCCGATGGTTTGATATTTTAGAATTGGTTGTAGTATACGATGCATTATTATTATTATTATTTAACACTTGTCGACATTTACGCAGTATACGACGATTAGCAACACTAGTTGAATGCTCTCCGTCGACATCATCACCACTATTATTGGTGTTGTTGTTGTTGTTGTTGTCGTTGAAGGTAGTGGTAGTAGTATTATTGTTACTACTATTTTTAACCTGATTTGAAACCTCAGTATTCATATTGTCCTCCTCAACAGGAGCTGGTTTCATCTGACCGACACGTGGATGATCTTGACTCTCAGTGGAATTTGATATTCTGAATTTAATACGAATATGAGGAGACGGGTCGGACATATCTGAAGAAAAGCAAAAACAAAAAAAGAAGAAAAGAAAATTAGACTGGAGCTTATTGCAGCTAAAGGGGATTCCAGCAGCTGAAAAACAAAGGTAAGAAATATATATGTGTAAAACTTGGGCACTGTGGTAGTAAGTAATTCCATGTTAGCCATATTAATGACGACACCAACAATAAGGAATCTAAATCTTCAGTAGTAATTCCATACAAGGAAGGAACCTCGGAAACCTTACGGTGGATTCTTAACAGTGCAGGAATAAAAATGGCATTCAAACCCACAAACTCAGTTAGAAACAAGCTTTGTCGGTTAAAGGATCAATCCTGTGGAGTCAATTAAACAAAACAACTAAGTTTATCTAATACCCTGCCTGCGATGATCGTCAGGTCAAATACATAGATCAAACTAGTAGAACAGGGGCAGTCAGACTAGCCGAACATAAAAACCTAGCAGCAAAATCTAGATTAGTTAACCCGAATAAGATAAGAAATCTAGAAAATAGTTCAGCTATAGCACTGCACTACATGCAATTACACACAACTACACAATAGGATGGGATAAGATGACAGTTTTAAAATCTTATGTTACAGGGTGGAGGGAGAGATTGATAACGGAAGCTTTATTTATCGGATCAACTGCAAATATATGTAACAGGAGTGATTCGACACCTGTCCCAGATATCTAGAAAATTCTACTACACCTACGACGACAAATAGGAGAGGACAAAGAAAACTATAAAACTCAAGTTTCGAAGTCGTGTGATTATAATTGGTATGATTATGAACAGTAATAAATTGTGTTCGAAACTGTGTCATCTAGTAAATAATACTGTTTCACTGTGTGATACAGCTAATAAGCGAACTAATATGGAAGGGTAAAAAACCAATTCTAATAATATTTATAACTTACGAAGAGTTTACTTTTACAATACAAAAAAACGATGAAATGCAAATCCCACTGAAGTCAATAATGTCATAGATTAAGAAAAACAACACGCAGAGACTGTCTTGGTTAACAAACAAAGAAAATCAAACAACCACCGACACACACACAACTCTAGTCAGTCAATCAAAAAGCATCTCACTATACGAACTATACGAACCAATAGAAAAAGAAGACTCCTTATGTGTGTGTGTGTGCATGTGTCGAGGAAAGTTACTGTCATTCCAACCAATGGATGAATTTCACTGTCATACGAATCTATAAAAATAGTAAATTAGTCTAACTGATTGAGTGACTGATCGACTGGTTTCCACATAGAATTTTGCACAGACGTGCAGTAGTTCGAGTTGCGCACTCCATGAAGCACACAAAGCAAGAGAAGAGAGTAAAGAGAGATTTATCAAAAGAGACAGATAATAAACAGAAATGTGAGGCAAAAAGAATAGTAATATGGAAGAACAATCGACTTTTATTGGATATTATAAATCACAAAGAGTGAATCCAACTGCCATATCACCGATTGTCTCCAGCCACCATTGGTTCTTACCATCTCGACGACCCCAACCACGCAACTAACTGTTGTGGATTTATTTCATTGACTGATGAAGCCGTGTTTTCGTTTAACCACCACTAGCTCTTTTCCAGCTTGATCCTTTGCCAGCTAACATTGCCTTTTGTCGAGGAATGCAGTGGCTAGGCATACGTAACACATGTCCTAACCATCCCTCTCAATCGATGTAACTTCACAACCTCGTCGATTGATTTCCCCTCCTTACCTAAATGGCACTCAATCGAAGCCTAACCTTATTATACCACCAACAAACACGGGAGACAGAGCGCAGACACCTATAGTCAAAGACAGCTAGACTTTTCGTACCTTCCACTTTCAATGGACATGTCTCACAGCCATAAAGGAGGACAGAGCGAACTGCCCCTGAGCAGTATACAAGCCCGTTTGGTCGACAACCGAATATCAGTTATCTAAGCAGCCAGCATCGTTTCAACTACAGGAGGAAGGCACGGATGAAAATGTCAAAGCCAGAATTGGAAAAGTAAGCTACACACCTTCATCAATCTGAAATCACCTTGGATATCTTCTGCACTACGTCTCAGCATAAACAATGAAATTCGGACTTTCAACACAAATGTGAAGTCAGTCAGTCACTTCTTCTATATATAGGTCAGAAACTCGGCCAGCGCATGAGTCACGAAAAGCACTTCCAACAGGCCACTTCGCAGACTTTTATCAACAGCTGCCTTCGTTCCACATTGAAGATCAAACGGCCAGAAAGAATTAGCAAGAAGAAACTGTAGGGGTGAACCAGCCAAGAATTGATTGCTCAACAAATATGCAGACAAAAAATACAGATGGATCGGACACACGCCATTGAGGAGACCGTCGAAAGACATCAAGCTCAATGCAGACCATCGCTCGAGTGGAGCCGAAAATTGTGCGTTAGCACGAAGCTGACATGGAGGAGATCTTTTGAGGAGGAGGAGATGAGAGATTATGGTCAATCGTGAGCCCAGCTGAGGAGGACCACAAAAAATGGGAAAAAGTGGAGATGTGCTATTGAAGCCATGTGTCTCATTCGGAATCCAAGGGATCAATAATAATCATAATAATGTTGATACACACACATAAGGGGGACTCATTGATCTCTGCAAGTAACTCTTTTAGAGTATAACTCCTAAGTGGTTTCACAAGTACATGGATTCACCTGGATATTCTACTTAATGAGACAAAAAAACCATTCTATAAAAATATGGTATGTTATTTGGCTTTGTAATGCCTGGATCAATCATTAAGACACAGGGAGATATATAGATAAATAGAGACAGCATAGTCTGCAGTATAAAAAACCCAATCTTATGTAAACAATATATGAAGAATGAAAATAACAATACCAATACTAGCTAAATACAAATATAATCATGTTTAAGAGAAAGAGAAACACAATTTTTTTTTTTAATATTTTGATTGATACATGAATTTGCATTGCAAAAGAGAGAGAAATTTGATTTGTCGGTTAATTTTTATTTCGCATACTCTCTATCTTCATGTCTCTTGCTCTTTATCTTGTGTATTTTTTAGAATGCATAACATTCACTTATGTACTCAAAACCTCTTTACTTATTTACAATAGTTTTTTTGGTAAGAGTTATAAACAAACATATAAAAGATTTCATTTGAAGCAATGTGAACCAACAAATAAGTAATATAATATTACTTAGGATTTCATCATGAGCTGATATCGATTAGAGAACCATTGGAAACTAACACTAGAGTGAGTACTGGACAGCCAGCTGATTCGTCAGCCTAGTTTGGGACTCTCCAGCAATACGCACCCATCCTACTGACAGGGTTCCAACCCACATTTATAAACCATTGGGCCACTGGGACCCGATCTATAAGCACAGGGTTACACGGGTTCGAATCTCAGAAGGGACAAGGTACGCCTTGCTGACTGGTGAGTGAGTGTGAACAAACACGAAACCTAGATCGAAGACTTTCCGCCGATTATAGTTTCTTGTAACCGGAAGGTCCTGGGTTTGAACCCTGTCAGTAGGGTGGGGTGCGTACTGTTGAAGAGTCTCAAACTAGGCTGAAGAAACAGCTGGCTGTTTAGTAATCCAAGATTTCCCAGTGGTTCTCCAACCGATGCAAGCTCATGATGAAACCCTGCAGACCAACACTTGAATAATATTATCTGCCTATTAGTACTACTACTACTACCTGCCCTTAACTGAGATAATTATATTGTGAGAATGTTATACATCACAGAAATAGACGAAGCCTTACAGTAAACAAAATGATAGCCAGCTGTGGTAGGCGTAATATACTACTGTAGGATATGGATCGAAATCTATTGAACAAGTGTGTAATATGTATATAGTCAATAAAATTAAGTAATACTGCTGTGTATTGTATGGACAACTGTTAGATACTTCAAGTCTGAATTTTGATTGACATAAAACCTCATACCTAATCTGTTTTATAATAATATATAATGCAATAATATTCCTTTACGTTCTCAGTGGAACATAGGACTTCAAACTAGCGCTTTGAAGTTTCGGTAGTAGTAGTAATAGTGTTTATTTTTACCGGGTAGGGTTGCTAACCTGACACCCAATCTCCCCACTTTACCGGCCTTACTACCACCTTAACGAGGTTTAGGAGTGCGTCCATCAGCCGATGATCGAACCCTAGACTACTTAAGGAGTGGTTGGCCAGTGTTCTACCGCTGAACCACCGACGCACTACGGTTTTATCCTTCGCTTAGGACAAGTCATGTGTACAACCTTGAACAAAATCAGCTTCCCCCCGCCCCACAGAACATTCGAACTTACGTTGCTCAATATAGAAGCTGAGTGACTTAAATTACCTACGACAAACAAATATAGAAGGGTGTTTATCATCGAATTTGTGGACACAGAGGGTTTATCTACGGAAATCATCAAACGCTTGATATATACATATGAGGTTGGTATTATGTCAACATACTGTTATCCGGTAGAGATGTTTTTGTGTGCTTGGTTCACAGACATAGCTAATTAAACCAGTCCCTTGGAATAAAGTCGACGAAATTGAATATGAACCTAAGACAAAGTAACTAAAAACTAAACATGCAAAACAGAAGAAATCCTCATCCCTAGAGAGTAATAACAAATGCCTAGCCATCGTCTTCCTCGACAAAGAGCAATGTTAGCTGACATAGCATCGATTAGGTTGGAAAGCAGCCAGTGGTGGTCAAACCAAAACATGGATTCATCTGTCAATCAAATCCGTAACAATTAGTTTAATCCGGCCGACCAGCCAGCCAGCCATCTCTATCTCTCTTTACTCTCTTCTCTGGCTTTGTATGGTACACGATGAGTGGCAAGTGGAACTGTTGTCCATCTGCGCAAAGTTCTATGTTGAAATCAGTCAGTCAGTCACTCCATCAGGGATTCCAACTGATTAACTGGAAAGCAAACCTGATGATTTGTTCGAACTCAGTTACCCGGAACAGATTTTTATTGTACTAGGCTATAAAGTTAAGCATATCATGTGAGGGGCTTGAGGATACTAATCAGGTGCCTAGGTTGAAGTAGGTGGAGAGACATTATTCGAATCTAGCACGAGGGTTCAAGCCTAAAAGCTACATCTTCACTAGACAGTACAAGGTTTTATCCTTTGCAGAGTCCATAGATCCACACCGCTGAAGTGTCTCAAACTCTCCAGCAAAACGGTTATCTAACGCTCCATGATTTTCAGCTATTCTCTAACTCATGTTGACTAATAACGAGATCTATATATATTCGTGAAATGGGAGAAGTTGGGATTCATAGACTGGTCGTTGGATCGGGTCCCAGTGGCTTAATGGTATGCGAGCTCGCCTCGTAACCGGAAGATCCTGGGTTCGAACCCCGGTGGGTGCGTACTGAAGAGTCCCAAACTAGACTGACGAAACAGCTGTCCAACACTCAAGCGTTGGTTTCCAATGGTTCGCTAACCAATGTCAGCTCATGATGAAATCCTGTAACCAATCAAATCAAATCCCTGAAAACCAACCAACACTTGAATATATATACATAAATTCACACATTCACGTTGAACACACAACTTACTTCTATCCAAATCATCCTGTGGGATAATACAACAGTTATGCGATTGAATTGTTCTCAGCGTTGACTGTGAATAACTGTTTGTAGTATTGTTCAAAGTGGTTGGCGTTTCATCAGTTTGTGAATTCGGTGATCGATTCGCTGATGACAGCGAAGAGACATACGGAGATGAGGATGAATTGCGACTGTCACGTTGACCTCGAGAAGAAGACGACGAGGAATGTATACTGAGACAATCATCGATGACAGAATAACTGTAAGCATGTTTACCATTACTAATGTTATTACTATTATTATTGTTATTACCAGTTGTTTTTGCTGTTGTTGTCGTAACAGTCGCTATCGTTTTCCCCTTCCGTCGGGTAGATTGTTTCATAGCATCACTTCTCGACAGCAAATCATTTTCACAAGGATTATTATTTAATAGATCCGTGGAAATATCGGATGTAAACTGTTTTCCAGTATCCTCTTGATCGCATATATCCGATTCTTTGACAGTTAATGAAGCTAACTGTTTATTAACAGTAGATTCAAGCAGAACTGTATCATTATTATTATCATCATTAATATGATTCTCAACCGATAGCATACTACTATTGGTATTGTGTGATATTTTATTGGCTTTATTATTATTATCATTATTATTACTACTATGGGTATGTGATCGTTTACGCCGTGATGACCATTTTCTGGCATTACATCGTTGTCTAGAGCATGATCGCATTCGCCGTACAACAATAGATGATGATCCACCATTCATTAGGCGTTGTTGAGGGTGATGATGATGGTGATGATGACGATGTCGATGTTGATGATCAGATGTTTCTTTCTTTGATAAACTTGACTTATTTTTAGACAAAGTATTAGGTGTACTATTATTGGTGGTGGTGTTGGTACCAGCAGCAGTAGTAGACTTTCCACAGGAATTACGTATAACATCAGGTAGAGATGCTGATCGTTTTGGCAGACGTCGGAAAGCAGTTGAATGATGCTTTGTTAGGAGTGTTGATCTCTTTCTTACATGATTAGCATTATTATTATTGTTCTGATTATTAGTTGCAGATGAGTTTGATGAACCCTATATACATATAAGATTTAAAAACACAAAACAAAAAGAAGTTAGAAAAGGTGAAGAGAAAATTCAAGTGAATTATGTAGATTTACAAACACTTTTTTTATCGAAAACAGATTAAAGCAAATAGAATCCATTAGAATTTGTAGTGATGATGTATTTCCCATCTCTCCCCTCCCAAAGCCCACCCTTTTTCGATTGGTTGGAGGATTTCATTATGAGCTGACATCAGTTACAGAACCATTGGAAAACCAGCACTAGAGTACTGGACAGCTGTTTCGTCAGTCTAGTTTGGGACTCTTCATCAGTACGCACTCACTGACAGGGTTCGAACCCAGGACTTGCTGGTTACAAGGCGAGCTTCCTCATAGACCATTAAGCCACTGGAGCCCGACCCAATGGCTCATGAATTCTAACTTCTGCCAATTCATGACATAACACCACTTTGCAATGTCTTCTTTGATGATGAGTTATTGCCTCACCTTCAACCTGCTGTACCCTACTGGTGGTCACGGCTTCCCACTAGAACCCCAGGTAACTAACTGCCTGAATAGAGCCAGTCGCTAGTGAGCATCAGATCAATCCTCCAACCAACCAATCGAACAAAAATACCTGCATAAACATTAAATTTGACAATTTTAGACCTAGTTTTACTACAGTTTACTACAGTGAATTTCATTACACCAGCACCGGTGTCATGTGATTTAATAATCTCATGCCACAAAGTAATTCGGCAAAAAAACATTAATTAACAAGTGGACTATAGAACACTATCACAATGTTATATACCGATTGATTTATGTCATTATTTTATTGAGAAAAATTTTTCAAAGAGCACATGGTATATTATAATAGGTAGTAGTAGTAATCACATGGTAGATGAAATTTAATATATGTATATAAAACAATGTGTGACTGAAAACCAAGTGAGTGAGTGAGTGAGTTGTGCGAACATTCATGAAAAAATAAATTTTACAAAAAAATAATAAAAATTTGTGTTAATTGGATAATTACCTCTCTAGAAGTGACTTCAGAGATAATACGACCTTTGCGGTCTCGACGAACTTGATTTTCATCCTATTTTGTACGAAAATATAAATTAGACAGAAAGAAAAAACAAGAAGAAAAGGGAGAAGAGGTAAAAAAGACAAGGACAAGGCCATCATTCACAGAAATGAAGAAGAACAATAAGGAGGCAAGAGACAAAAACAAATCACCGGAGGCTTCCTTCATATACATTGAATGAAATACAGTGCAATTAGTTAACCAAGGCAAAATATGCGTGATTTTACAAAACAATTTACTGGCTACATTCAAATTCGTTCAAGGAGAGAGGAGTCGTCAGCCATTTGGAAATTAAAATTATTCGGATCACAATACAGTGGCATAGCGGTTAGGGCGCTCGCCGACCATGTACATGGTCCGGGGTTCGATCCCCGGCCGACACACTCCTTTACCCCGCTAAGCCAGAAATAATGCTGGTGAAGAGTAAAGGTTGGGTATGAGGCTAGCAACCCCATCCTGTAAAATAAACACTGCTACAGAAACTTCAAGCCACTAGCTTGAAGCCCTATGCTCCACTGGGGAACGTGAAGGAAATAAAAAAAAATAGTACCACAAATGGTAATCGAAGCATGCATGATAAATACTCAGCGCAGACAGGAAGCCAAATCAGTTTACCCTCCCACCACCACTTCACCAGGAAATGCCGAACTTCAAGCTAACTCCCCCACACTTTTAGAAATTCACAATACATAGAAACTCTTAACAGCCTGATAAATGATACGCATTAGTCATTCTAATCCATAGTCTATCCTTTACCCAAATTTGTTGACGCCTCAACGTAATAATGAAGAAGCTTCAAGAATGTGAGCATCAGTGGTTCAGCGGTAGAACGCTCGCCAACCACACCTCAAGTGGTCCGGGAGTCGATCCCCGGTCGACGCAATTCTATACCTTGCTAAGCCGGTAGTAAGGCCGATGATAAAGAGAGAGAAGATTGAGCTAAGCGAGGCTATCGACCCCACCCTGTAAGAAGTAAACACCCCTACTGCCACTGAATCTTCAAAGCTCTAGCTCGAAGCCATGAGTCCCCATTGGGAAAGAACACAAAGAAATCAATTTAAAAAGATAATAAATAATAATGATAATAATTCGACAGAGTGAAATGATTTGCCGTTTATTAGTTTATTTATAATTAAACAGAGATTTTACTTTTCAGTAGTTACATTAAGGAGAGAGAAAAAAGCAAAACTTAGTAGGGCGTAATCAGATTTATTCATACATAGATTAGTCTAAAAATAGGTGAGAATTAGTACTATAAATATTTATAGAATATTGCGTCACTCAACTGGTGTTGACAATGTAAGCATTCAGCTTTCTTTTTTTTTTCTTATTAGACCGGCCTACACAATTAATTGAGTCGGCGCATTTGTAGAAACTAATTATCTCCATTAATCTAGCCACCTACTAATTTCACATGAAGTTATTCATATAGAATTTTTAAACGATATAAAACACGCTGTCTATTCATCCGTTTGTCGCTTACTTAACTTGAATAAACGGCAATAATACACTTTACAGAATCGTTATACTCCATCCGCTCCAACTTAGAGCAAGCCTAATTTTATCAACTTTAGTTACGCCTTATAACTTGACTGATTTTGACATTCATTTTAAGAAAATAATTGTCAATCATGAAGATGTTCATTGTCTCAATTTCTGTTTAATTTTATCATAGATATACTGTAATGGACTTAACCCTAACTGACTTCAGTAACTCATGGATTGCTTCGTCAGTAAGGTGGGGATAATCTCGTTGACTTAGAATATGAGGATGACATAGTCACCCCCATCCTCTCCTCGGTGAAAACGATGACAAAAGACTGTAGAGTCTTCTGAACACCTTGAGCAACGAGTAATCTTAGAATGTTTGGCATGAAATTCGCTCCAGCTGTCAAATGTAAGAAAATGCTACACGACTGGACTGGACTAACATCGACTCCTAGCTTAAAGATAGGCAGGAGTGAAGTGGGAGAGCGTGTTGACAGCTTCAATTATTTGGGGATTTGCATCAGCTAGAGTCAACGCGTTGATCTCTGACGAAATCTCAGAACAGTTACAGAAGGCTAGTTTGACATTTGTCTGACAACTTTCGACATCTTTGGCTTAGTAGACGTGATTTCCGGCTGTCTATCAAAGGGGGTGTGTACTGCCCAGGGGCAGTTCGCTCTGTCCTCCCTTATGACTGTGAGTGAGACATGTCCATTGAAAGTGGAAGGTACGAAAAGTCTAGCTGTCTTTGACTATAGGTGTCTGCGCTCTGTCTCCCGTGTTTGTTAGTGGTATAATAAGGTGAGCAATATTGAGGTTAGGCTTCGGTTGAGTGCCATCTAGGTAAGAGGGGGAAATCAATCGACGATGTTGTGAAGTTACATCGATTGAGAGGTATGGTTAGGACATGTGTTACGTATGCCTAGACACCGCATTCCTCGACAAAAGGCAATGTTAGCTGGCAAAGGATCAAGTTGGAAAAGAGCCAGTGGTGGTTAAATGAAAACACGGCTTCATCAGTCAATGAAATCCACAACAGTTAGTTTAAGCCAGCCAGTCAGCCACCTAAGGAGGTGTAGGTTGCCTGAGTGACTGGTTGGGGTCGTCGGATGGTAAGAACCAATGGCGACTGCAGACAATTGGTAATATCGCTCATAATCCCAGTTCTCAAATAGTGGTGCAGATGCATTTACTGTTTGTGATTTGTCAGTCATATCCAATAAAAGTCGATTGTTCTTCCATATCACTATTTTTCGCTAACACTTCTATTTATTATCTCTCTTTTGAATTTCTCTACTCTGTGTGGGAACTCGAAGCGCTGCACATCTGTGCAATGCTCTATGTGGAAACCAGTCAGTCAGTCTTAAACCTTACCAGAGGGCAGTTAGCCCGGAAAGAGGGAAGCCTCTGGGTGTGAGGCTAGCCTCTCCTCACCCTGTCAATAGAACAACACTACTTCCACTGAAACTTTAAAGCCTGAAGTCTTATGTTCCACACAGGAAGCGTGGAAAAAAATCTAAAATCCTAATTGCAACATAACAGACTCCAAAAAAAAGAAAATAATCATCATATAAATTAAGATACGTACTTTGGATTTAGGATTCTTCAAACGAGCAAAATATTGTTCCAACTAGAAATAATGAAAAGTAAATCAAAATTACTAATGAATGAATGAAGCCACATAACAGTAAATAAGCTTTAAAAAAACAGCTATTCTTCAGATATCAGAAACTGATAAATGTTTGAAAATGAATCGACTAAAATCTAGTTGAAGTCCGATTTTAAACGGGTTATTAAGGAAGGTAAAATCTGTGAAGGTAATTTTGTGCATATTTTCTGAATAGCTTCTTCTAGACACGTGTACAGGATGTTTGTTAGGCATTTGCTAATCTGAGTTCGGTCTAGCGCCAACATAATTTCCACATGCTTATCAAGGGATAAGTTTGCTGCATTGTAACTTGTCTTAGAAAACTTTACAATTGTGAAACAATCGCTGAAAGCGGATGTAATAATCACATGCTTTTGTTATCACCCACACAACTCACATGACATAGAACTAGGGAAGTCAAATGCAAAGTTAGATAAGGAAAATCAGTGGACCGAGGGATTTGTGTCTCTTTATCCACTGAGATAGTTACAACAGATATTGAGCACTTTGATTGGACACTAGTTAGTAACTAGTGTAATGTGTCTAGTCTTTTCTTTGGTGTAGACTGAATTCTATCAGTCAAGTTTGCAATGTGGACACCATTCCACTAGGCGGCTTACCATCACGATACACTGCACACTAAATTGTTGATATTAGATGGTTGTAGGCGATCGGCAGGAAGCCTTGGACATCACCTAGGTTTCGTGGTTGTTGGCACTCATCACTCAGCAAGGAACTCATTTCCCTTCTGAGATTCGGACCCGTATCACTATCCAGTGTTGCAGTCAGTCGGAGATGTCACCACTGAGCTATTCGCGCTTACGATTGACCTCCTGTAGGACAGTATTAGAGACTTCGATTGGACACGCTGAATTTAAACACAGGAACTCTTGCCTCACTCCTATCGACTCACGTGCAAATATTACCTTTACCATTACTACATAGATAATTGGTACTTTGACAACGCATAACACCGATATCAGGGAACAATAAACAGAACAAGTTACAGAAAACGACAACTGCTAAAATGAGCACTGATTGAGTAAAGATGTCTAATAACCAGGTGTATAGCAACCTAATAAAAGTATGCAGAAAATATAAATACAGACCAATCAACTCGCCATAAGTGCCCAAATCATAACAATTCATATGTTATTTCAATGTGTTTACTTCTAATATGTATATGGGCAACAATCTGAGGGTTTATATCTGCTTCAAAAAGCTACGGATTTATTCATTTCTACTACTTAAGAAGGCTTAATAGTTGTAATGGGTGTAATTTTTCCTCTTTTTTATAATAAAACCGACAAGTAGATTAAAATGATTTCTTTTAGCATAAAATATTGTTGAATGACGGTTGAATTTAGTCAAATAGCTTAATCACACAATCTATAGTAACACCAACTAGTGTAGATAGCCATATAATCACATTTCTACTTATCTGTTTCCACAATTTCCTGTAAATATTGTGAATGATAACAACTTAGATTGTCAGAAACTGAAACGGATATTATTTGTGAATTTCAGAATTTATCAATGATAAGGACTTTTCAATAAAAAGAAAAAATATTGATCACATAATATATCTCTGATGGGACGATAAAGGAATTTTTTTAAAAAAACCCAAAATCTTCATTAAAACATCAAGTATCTCTAATGATTTAAATGATTACTTACAAGAGAACGATCGATCGTATGCACATAATAGCTAAATGGCTTGTCAGTCCATGAAACAGCATCTTGGATTGGATTAAGGCAGCTTACACGCATTATTGAGCCAATATCTGAATAAAATACACATACATAAAATCAACAATTTATAAAAATATTGTGTGCAATTGTAGCACTCCGGTAAATGAAACATTCACACTAACTACATTTAAATACTAAAAACCAAGCCGGACTTTATTTAAAGTGACACAATATACCAGTCAAAAATTCAATTAAATAATCATGAACATTTGCAAACTATTAGGTTACAGACTATGTAGTCTTAATTATATGACTCGACCCAGCAGTGCAAAATGAAAACAAGAAGGTCTACTGTAGAACATTTATTCATGGATCTATAGTTCTATAAAAGCGGCAAAGCTTCACAGTTAACTCTTAGTTGGAAACCATAAATGTCTTCATCCAGCTGGTCGCATTAAGTGTGGCAGTGACATAACTAGTCAGGTTTGGTGTCGAACGTTAAGTGGGAGTGCAAGATGACTGTTGAAACTATGAAGCTTTCTCAACCGGCAATGTCGAACTCAATACCATTAGGTTGAGAAAGAGTTACAGGTAACTAGACCGAAAAATGTAATCAACGTGGGAAGTCACTAATCCCTGTTATGAGTTATATGGTGGAGTACTAAGCATGACGCAAAACAGAGACTGGAGACTCTTGTGATAACAAATATCATGGTTCTATGAGGGAAAGAAAACTGCCTTGCCTCTGATTAGTTCATAAAATAAGTTAGTAGCATTTTTCGACTAACATCGTTTGCAGTACTGATAAATAGTTTGAGATATTTGTGAATTGCGTGCAAAATACCATTTTGAATAAACCGAAACACAATTTTATGATGTCAGCAATGATTATCACATATGCATACATATGCAGAACGTGGTTAAGTAACTATTTAAGCGTGCGCACTAGTCCAGGTTACACCTGGTATGATTTCGAGATACACAAAATTTACGGCTCAACTAGGTTAGTGACAAATCCCCTAAGTACTGCATTTGTAAGTATCCCAAACACGTCATTGAAGATTGTGCATGTGTTTTCCGGAAACCGACCCGTTGATATTGAATTCTTCGGCAAAGACTGTTAGCCTACTCGTGAACCAAATGGCTTTTAAAATGTCACCGAATGTAATATTCGAAACTCACCATTTGTCGACTAATGCCACGAACGCAGAATTCTATTAAGTCCATTTATATATATATGGAAAATTTGCACTCAAAACATTTAAGGAAGTGAGTGTCACGGATTTAAACCAAGACGTCTGATTGAAAATATTACAATGCTACAAAGACAGACAATGCTCTAAAATATAGTAAGTTACACTTAATCAACACCTAAGACCCTAAAGTATTTAACACAAAAATAAAGTGGATTTGAAATAAATCATACCCCCAAGATTCCTGTCGGTAATTCGGAAGTTTAGTGGACAAAATGCTTTTGAAGAGATGATTCGTGCTCCTTCCTTAAGATTAGCGAACCTCTGCTTTAATTGGTGGTCAACTTCTGGACCAAACGCAAAATTGTTTGCAAACAGGACGCTAGCACTCATTATCTTCTCTTGGTACTCCGACGACAGAAAATCTCCACGCTCTAACTAAGTAAGGAAAAGAAGGTTAATTAGCAAACTGAAAGTATTTCATTTCAACTATACATTATTTCTCTGTAGAGGTTACACCTTGTCTCAAAATATTTACGGTTCACGTTTGGAAATCATAAGTGAATAAAGGCATTTTAAAATCCACAATTTTACATGTAAAATATGACAGGAAAATCACAATTTACAAACGGTAATTACTTTGTAAGGTCGATAAGATTTCCCGTAGAAGCTCATCCAGTGTCGAAATGCTGCATCCAACCTCGAGGCACAGTATGACGGATACTCAGCTTTTTCAATGCCATAACAAAATTTTGCATCGGTAGATGCAGACACTTGCAAGACAACTTGACCTACGCCTAGTTAAAAAGGAAAATTAGGTTAATCGACTTCAGTTACCACTGCCAAGATCAATAAATATGTCGTCGCTGGCGACTGCAATAGTATCAATCATCTGGGATATAAGTTCAAATGATGTTTCTCCATAAACCTGAGGCGAGAAAGGTGGATATTGGTTTAGCTTTTCTGGATCTGACACAGCCCGATTATAGCATTGCAAAAGTATAAATTGTATGTGGTCTCGAGATGCCTTCCTATTGTAAAAATCAGGAACTACATCCCCTTCCGTCCACTGAAGCATATGAAACCAAAATATTAATCCTACCATATGCCAGAGATCCATAATAGCTTTGTTATATAAAGCACACAATTCTGAGACATCGTTGAATGAACTTCTGTCGGTTTGCCTGAGCATTTCCACAAGCAGTGAGTTTTCAGACAACTCTTCAACGTCAGAAACAATCCAACTGATGACATCCACGATCTCTGAATTCTCATCTTTAATTTCTCCAGGCTAAAAGAAGACAAAAACGTTAGCATTGGACGACAAGACATTGAAACATAGTTAGAAATCGCTAAGTACCTTGCAAGGAACCCAACGGAATTTTTCCTCATTCCTAGTGGCTGGGCTAATAATAGCCAGATGATGGTCGCCTAACATATCACACGCTTGGCGTTCGAATTAACTGTCATCCAACTGGGCCACATTTCGAAGTGCGCCAACAGTTAAACTTTGCGCTTACAATTCCGCCTAACTTAAATGGCTCGAGATATATACTTCAGATATCCTGAGTTAGAAACAGCTGACTGGCAGAAAATGACTACACTTTTCTATTGGTAACCTGTGCTTGCTCAATTCTTGCTAACCAAATCAATTGGAGATACATACATCACCCCTTCAAGAAAGCGAATCCAAGGTCATTTGGATGACGATGATATATCGACATATCTACTTCTAGCATTCATACTTTTCTGTTACAGTTAAAACTAGAAATATGGATCTTGTAGGAATCCAGTAACAATTCTCCAGAGGCAGTCGTTCAGGTATTATTCAGTTTCTATAACAGAATAAATTGTGCTAATGCAAAGCTGACGCTTTGTGTAAGCGCTTTTATACACTACGCTTCTTTGGCCAAAGTTCGGTGTTAATCTAAATTTATAAAAACCTTTCTTCATAGTAGCATTAACTGACACGCTTTTAGTGTCACACTAATTATCGCCTGGGCAGTAAGTACACAATGGGATGCATATTATCCAGTAGTATGAACTATAGATGAGAACCTTGATGCTTAATGATGTGTTGACCACCCACTACACTCCGATCCCTGACAGGTGGACCCTTCATACCTTCCAAAAATGATGTTAACTTAAAAAGTGACAGTAGCCATCTGAACGTTTCTGTTTCTTCTTTACTCACAACATGCTACCGTTTGCAATTTAAGTATTATTTCAATCACAAACAGCAGCTATCATATAAAAGATTCGAAATAAGTGAGTGTGGTTAGTATTAAATGATGTCTCAATAGAGAAAAGCACTTAACTAATACTATTTCATCTCTTCGCATCACCTGGTTGGTGATAAGATGCATCTGAGTAGCGTACTGTTCACACAACACCTTGTGACAATGTATTCGTGAATTATTCAGACGTCTGAGAATTACTTTGAGTCTGACAGAAGCAATGTGGTGTGTAGCCCCTTCATTACATTCACATTTTGATCACATAGATAAGCTTGATTTTCAGCAGCAGATATATGCATGAGCATATCAACGTACATATATATATATAATATATATATATATCTATAATAATAATAATAAAATGCGCATTAAATCTATGGGCTTCGTTTCTTCTTGTGACTTTGCGTAATTACATAAATTCCAAAATAACTGCAGGTACAAGTCTCCCGAATATGAAGTATTGGCCAGCCTGCGTCCACAAAACCTTGGTTCGAGTATGTGATCCAAATCAGTATACACTCTCCAATCAATAACTGCTGATATTTTTGTTAGAATTACCTTTGTTCAATTCAGATTGATAGTGGCAAGGTCCAGTGTTACACTAGCACCAGTCCAAAGAATAACGAAAGTCTCTCCCGTAACCATACCGTGGGCCAAACATATTATTGCTTTCCCGATAAACCATGACTGTTTTCTTAAATTTTATTCATCGTATGTTAACTGCAACATCAATGATTCGTATAAGCTTAAGATTTTGTGGATGGTATCTCAAATGCTTCGTACTAGAGAGTCTATTGTTATGAGACAGCTTCCACTGATTGAAATTTACCAAGTATAATATCAGTCGTTTTATTAATACCAGGTGAAATCGTTCTGCTTACTTCCTTCACGTCTGTGGAGATTGAAGAGCTAAATACCATATGATGGCAGATATCAGTGGAATCCACAATGTTTGGTGAAATTACATCTTCTGCTCAAACTATGCCTGATGAAACTGAATCACTAAAGTATTCAGTTACGTAACTCAGCATGATTTCAGACCCCAGTTCCTAATCCTTTTATGATGCTTTCGTCTCTAAACTTATGTTTGTGATATCGTGATGTGTTTCATTCGATGGCAGCGCACACGAGAAGATCTACTACTCGAATGGTTTAATTTTCGCTCTTTAGGACTTACTCCGAGGCATATTATGAAGCCTTATCCCCTTAGTAAACAAAAACAGTAATTTTACGTTGGATCTAGCGAGTCACGATTCTCTACAGTTCTCTTATGGAAAACGTTGCTTTAGCACTTCAGGATTGTACTTTAAGTAACAGGCACCATTAACTGGATGTACAACTGTTTGAAGAGACATCATGTAGTATTTATTTGCGTTGTTAGCCAGCAACTGATTGATAATATATTTATTCCTGTTTATGCAGGAACATATCAATTGTACAGGCACGGATAAGTTATTATATAAATTACACATGTTTCGATGTATGTTGAATTTACAGTTTGGTTGTTCTTTCTGACATTAGAGTCAGTCGGAACAGTCTGCTAAATAGTCTGTCTGTGTAACACATAAAGAGATATAGAAATATTGTCTTCGCATTAACAAAAAACCCAGACTTCAGATGAATGTAATACAAATATCTGGGAAAAATAAAGCTTGAAGTCATTTCTCCTATATAACTTTGTTGTGAACAGCATCCTTGAGTTAAAGTTTATTGATGTATTATTTTGAGTCAGTGATGTATTTATTCCATTTTTTTCAGTAGTCTAATAGTAGTTTTATAATAGGGAAGAAATTTGATCGTGGATACGAAAACTAGATAAGGTCATGTTAGATTGTTTTACTGCATCAAATGGTGCCGAGGGCGATTCTAGAACTATCCATTGGCGCCATTCGTGTCAGCATGGCAGACTGTACATGTAAGTTGAGTAATACATTGAAAACTGTTTGAAAACCAGTTGCTTCTTTATTTCAGATCAAGAATACTCCTTGTACAGAATGTTGGCAGGCGTTTTCAAATGGTAGCATCGGATCGTTCATGGAATTTGAGTTTGAATTTACTTAAGTGGCCGTTTCAGTTTAAATGTAAGGTTGTTCGACCTCGACCAGGAGGTATATAGAAGTGTAGGCTCAGCAACAGAATCCCAGAAAGAGAAAGTATGTGAACATGAAAAAAACATTAATATTTTATGTATATATAAATGTTTATAGATGTATATCATTGTATAGTAAACATTACCTATAATCTAGTTGTTTTTTCATGTTTTTTCGCGAAGTCTTAGAGTTTATTTAGTGTCATAATATTTAGTAATGAGTCTAGGCGTTATAGTGTTCTAATAGCTGATGCGTTTTAGAAATAAGTGGTGCGGTGTGATTAGCATAGTCATTGGGATGAAACAGTTTATATAGCAAGCCCCACAGGTGGGTGATCGGTAGATGCTGCGCAGTAAATGCTTGGTGTGACCAATAGTGAAATGAAACCATGTAGAGTTTGGGAGTTCAGTAGGTGGTGGGTCCGTTTCACGTATGCATTTAAGTTGCTTGCCAAAGTATATGACAACTCCCACCCCTTACCTGTTATCTCTGTCTCTCCTGACCAGAACCACATCAATTTAACTGATTTCGTTGTCGGAGACAGTGGGGGTTAGCTAGGTTTCAGTAAGAATGACTATTTTAAGGTGTAAGTGTGACTGGAGGTTTCTCAGCTCATCATCGTTTCCTCTCACCCCTCTTGCATTGCTATACAAGCAGCCAACAGTGAGTCTTACAACCTGAGTGTGTTGTGGGGTGCTCGACTTTATGTTGTCTGCTGGTAGATGTCTTAATACTGGGTCGAGTTAGCCGATTCCAATAGAACAGGCTTGTTGCCGATTTTCCCTTGGATTTACGTAGGGCATTTGGGTGACACTGACCATCATTCTCAGTGCCACATCGCCTTAGTGTCTCTGAGGCCTGAGGACGCAATAAGGCCTCAGTTTGCTGTCTCCTTATGTTTCGAGGTCTACTCATAGATTATCATGTCCTGTTCTTACGTTAGAACTCCTGTTGGTAGTTAATATCTGGGCCAGTAACAGTTCTCTTTCAGCCTCTTCGGTAGAGCCCTGTGTCACTCTTAGTAGAGGTGGCTTACCTTGAGGTTCCTGAACACCCCTGTGCAGCCTGCATAATTTTGCTGGACTAATGTCCAGCCCTAGTTTATTGAACAGACTGGACCAATGTTCCCTATCAAACAGAGCCCTTTGTTCAAGCAGACTATCATTGCACATGGGCGCACTAAACAGGATAAGGGAATTCGACCGACTGGCCTCAGACTTAGGTTCTGTCTTCGGCTGCTTGTCCCCCTTTGTGGGGTCAGTCAATTTAAATTTCATAAGATTCTCACTATTATTTGTAATATTGCCATCCTTGCTGGAGGATGCGAGTGGTGCTCTGGCAAGTCCCTGCTGTTCTGGGTGTAACCTTGTGAGTCTTCGATTTATTAGGAATGATATCTCAAGTCGGTTGGGCTGGAGTATCCTTCCTACGGTTCTCACCAAGTCCTGCAGATGCGGTGTTATCAGGTGGAGCGCCGTATAAGACTGTGTCAGGGCTACAAAGTGGGCAAATGCACCAGAACCACAGACATGGGTTATTTCGCACAAACTCGTGGTATGCACCCCTTTGTAATAACGGCAGTGCACCCATCATTTTCAAAAATTGCGTGCGAATGTTGAGTCCGTTTTAGAAACAACAACACTACAGGCCTGGCATTCATCTCCTTTTCTAGATGATGCTTTGGATGTCTTACGATGCCCTGTGCGTTTCTTCTTTGTTTTACTGTGTGTCACACACTGGCTCCCAATGGATACAGGTGTAGTATCATGTCCACCTGGTATTGCCTATGCCGCTTGAGTGTTAGATTGTGGCAATGTAGGCATATTATCAGAGCAGGGGATAAGTACACTGCTCTTCAGAATCAGTATGCTAGGTGGGCTGGTATCCTTGGGTTATTGCCTCCTCTAGCTAAAGCCTCTGTGACTACAGAATGTGGTGTTTCAGTGCTTTTTAAAGACTGCTTTTAACAGCGATATTAACAATTACTTTAACTTATGCTTATATATGAATAAGACGCATCAGCAGTATCTGCTGAATAGCACAAGAACAAGAAGACTGATAAAGTATGAGATAAGGAAAATAAAAGTTTTTGACTTTACTCAGTACTTTTT